ACATAAATGATTAGCATTATTGCTAAATGGAATGGTTGAGATATAGTAGTGAATCACAACTGAATATTAATAGAGTAACTACCAGGGAGATGCTACTGTTTGATCCAGACCTATGCTTGGTTCAAGTGAAGTACAGCTTTTAAAACTCAAGCAAAAACCATAATTTATTCAAAATCATAGTTTTTTTTACTTTTGTCTCATGCTATTTATTTAAAATATTTACATAACCACTCATCTTATGTACCATAATTACAAATAATGCAGTACACAGATGTTATTTCAAGTACTGTTTTAAAATAACACAAGCATTCTGTGTATCAAATTATTTTTCCAGAACTCCCAATTGCTCGGAATCTTACAAGTTTTTAGTAATTTCACCTTAAAATTTCTGCAAGGTGTCAAGGTCGTACAAAATTATCAAGTTTCTGAGAATTTAGACATGACATAAATGTAAAACAATCCCCAACATTGTAATAGGATTTAGTTTAAACAAAATTAAATTTGGGCGATACTATTTCCAATTTTGTAAGACCCAATGGATACATTGTTTCTCACAGAGCATAAGCTACAAACACATCCCAATCACTAAGAGAACAGACAGTCCTGCATAGACAATATATACATCTCCAAATAGGCATAATTACTTTAAATATTTACAGATGGGTGATACATTCATGTCCCCACATCCTTTGAAACCAAATCAAATCTGAAGAACTGCAATAGTCCTAATCTGTAGTTCTAAAGACAGACCTTCCTAATAGTTATACTAATCATGTTATCACTACCATTAAGAAATTACAGTCTATTCATTTGAGTTGAATGCTTAGGGGAAAGTGTATTTGCCTCAAATTTGTTTTTGCTGACTCAAATGCAAGCAGCACTTAGGCTGAGACTTATATACCACTTCACAGTGCTTTAAAGCCCTCTCTAAGTGGTTTTACAGAGTCACCATATTGCCCCCAATAATTTGGGTCCTCATTTTACCGACTTCGGAAGGATAGAAGGCTGAGTCAACTTTGAGCCTAGTGAGATTTGAACTGCCGAACTGCCGGCAGCCGCCAGTCAGCAGAAGTAGCCTGCAATACTGCATTCTAACCACTGTGCCACCATAGTTCAGGAGCAACAGGAGACAAGGATTTATTAACCTTATATAATTTGTCTTGATCACTCAAGAACAGAAATTGACAAACTGTAGCATTTGTCTCACATGTTTTGACACTTTCTCTGGCATTGCAAGGGTCACCTGCAGTGAATCTAGTTTGCACGTGCTGTCTCTTTTCCTGCTTCAGAAGTTGTTTTGGAAAAGCATGTTCAGAGATGGTTTGGAGGTGGCTTAGTCCCTTTGTCATCAATCTAGATTGAGAATGGGACTTGAGGTATTCCTGTTGGTGATTTCATTAGCCTTGAGCTTCCTAGGAATTGCTGGATTTGAACTCTAAAAAGGGAATCTGGACTTTGTGACAATCAAGCTGCACTTTAAGTTTTGGCTCTTAGTAGGTATGTGTGTGGTGGAGAGAGGGACCAAGGAGGTAATGTGCTGTACAAAGAGGAAGCAAAATTCTCACTGAAGCTTCCACTGAGTGCAAAGGGACCTCAAGTAACACCTGTGAAGGAAGCAAAATGACTTGGGACTACAAATCCAAGAATGTCTAAAACATTCTAAATACACTATTTGTATATATCCTAGAAGTATTTCTATATTCATCACATTTTCTCCAAGCTCTTTTGCCATAAAAACAGTATCTATGGAAACCTTTTCCTTGACTGTGAGGGCAGATTCCCTCTATTGCAGGGGTGTCAAACTCAAGCCGGATCTGGCCCATGGGGTGCTTACATCTGGCCTGCAGGGCTGCCCTAGAATCAGCAAAGGATCGGCCCACGGTGGCTCTGCCAGCAAAAACAGAGTTTGGGAGGGCCGTGTGTGGCCCTGCCAGGCTCCGTTTTCAGCCGTGACACCCTCCTGAAGTCCTCTACCAGCAAAAAGGGAGCTTGGGCCACCCCATTTTTTTCTGGCAGAGGGCTGCAGGAGGGTATCACAGCCAAAAATGGAGCCTTGACAAGTGACATCAAGCTGGCTACACACCCCAGGAGTCAAACACAACCCTGTTGCAGCCCTCAATGAAATCAAGTTTGACACCCCTGCTCTATTGTAACCATACTCATGGCACTGTTAACAATGAAATCTTGCAATGTAAATGAATAATTGACTTTCCACTAAGCAAATTTATGAGTATTTGCATCGGGGTTTTTTTTTCAGAGTAACAAAATCTAAAAATAAAACCCAACATAAGACAAAGGATCATGAATATATTTTCAGACACCACTTTTTAAACATCAATTCTCTTTTAAAAATTCTTCCAAGATTAAGCCAAAGAGACTGATGGCAAGTCAACCAATAAATCTCCAGAGCCGAGCAAAGTCTTGAACAGCCTGTTTAGCCTTTTGAAAAGCTCTGAAGATCCTGCCAGTTTGTCCAGACCTTGGGAACATGCAGTTAGGCAAGCTCAGTTGGTGTTGGTAATATGGTTTTGTTTCAGGTGTTATTGTGATGGTTGTAATCTTTGTATGGCACCCAGAGTCACTACTGTGAATTGAAAAGTTCTATAAATCATTTAGAAAATCAACCAACTTGAGCCTGCCTAGACTTAATTCAGCACTGGGGTAATATAAAACATATGCCATTCTTTAGGAAGAAAAAAATGTGATTGGTCTGAGGACCCTGATGGGTTGTATAGTTTAATAAGGATCTGTGCATGGCCATCCTGTTTCAAGTCCAATGCAGCATGTTGATTTCAACTGAAATCAGACTTAATTCCAAATACAAGCACTTAGAATTTAAGGCCAATTGCACATACTTAGCCCAACTATTTCCCTGATAAATTGACCTCACTTTTATTACTAGTTACTACAGTAATTTGTAACAGTTACATTTTGGAAACAAAAACACATTCTATTGAAATTGAATATTATTCAGCTTACATAACCTCTATTACATTCATTTGTAGCAGCTTTCAGGCAGTGGCTTTTCTTAATACTTTTTCCACACATTATGACTGAGCCAATTTGGGATTAGCACAGTATTAGCACCTTTGTCTCCAGGATGCTTGCAGGCCCCATAATTGGCAGGGTTTGGGCAGCTGAGCCAATCCCATTTCAGCTGCTTCTCCAAAGGGAATGCAGTGAAGACACCTTTACAGTATTTCTACTGGATCTTACAAGCAGGGATTCTCATCTCCTAGATTTTCCTCCTAAGTGCTCTAGCGCCATGTTGCTATTCCCACCTCAGTAATTAGGGAGGCAAAACTGGTTTTGCCATCATCATAGAAGCACTTGTTTTGCTTCCTTATTGTGAAAACCAATACAGCAAGGAATTTATGAGGATGGAAGGTGAGGTGCAGAATGAAGAGCTACACTACTCAATTCCTTATTGGTCAGCAAGAACAGAGAACAGCAGCAAAGCCAATGCAATGTGGAAATGACATAGATAAAAATCAACCACTGTTGACTTTGAATATGCCCTTTGATTTGGAACAGAATACTTGCATTCCTGGAATACAATGGCTTCTACTAAAACTTTGTCACCTAACATCTTATTGAACTAATTGGGGGGGGGGAATAAAAATAACATTTCACAAAATGTTTTTGGCTACTGACCACAACTGAAGTCATTACAAAGTGTTTATTGAATCAATTTGACAATGCAGTGCTTGCAACAGGCAGAGCAAAACCTGTGTTTCCAGGTACAGTGAATTGTTACACATCTATGGAACACCATCAAATATTTCCAATGTTTCTAAATAGAAATTGATAAGCTGATTAGCAAGAGGAGAAATACCAGTTCTTGCTTTAAGGGTGGTTTTGGAAATTCTAGGTACTGTAAATTTTCTCCCATTGTTCCATGGCTGTTCAAAAATGTTTAATTATTTTATTAAAGATTTCAATGTTGTTAAAAGACCCCAAACACCCAGTTATAACAAATAAATACAAATTATAAACTAGTCTATTGTTAAGTATTGTACATGAAAACAACCCATCTAAAAAGTACTTCATCTATTGAACAAAATATATAAAGAACCACCAGAATTTGGCAGAAAAAATATATGTAATAAAGAATGGCAAACAACAGGGCTTTTATATACATTTAGTGAGCCATGAATTGACGGATATGGGAATATCACCAGATTTCTGCAAGAAATTATAACAGTGGTACTTCCTCTCACATACAGCAGGGGATAAGACATTAGAGCATGAATATCTATAGAATGCATAACCTTGTTACTGGATTATACTTTTTCCTGGGCTGCCATCAAACACATTAAATTAAAATGAATACTGCCTATATTTAAGGCATGTGCATTTTAATATTCATCCTTGTGCTGCCCTCTTACAGGACATTAGAAAAATCAGCTAGCAAAGTCAGATCTTTAAATTTCAGCTCAGTGATGAACTTGACAGTTCAAAGCTAGCTGTTAAATCTTCACTGTATGTTTTTTTACTGCATATAATCCATAGCAAGCCAAACAATACTGCTTATTTTGTGATATAATGCTTTTTTACAATCTATTGCCTGCATTATATATTTGAAGTAAAAAGAAAAAAAGAACTCTATAAATACCCCCAAAAGCTTTAACTTATTACTACTTACAACTATTGTAAATCTAAAATAAAATAATTATTTCTCAATAGCATACAGACTATAGAATAAAAAAAATACTACCCACCCAATTGCTTATTTGTATGAAAATACACATATAGAAAAAAATGCTTTGGAACAACTAAAATTATAGTATCTATCAAATATAGGATACATACATTATTAAGACCACACTCATATGAGATTTCCAATTTACACTGATTTATAAATCATGTTCAGAAAATTATTCTATATGAAAATTATTTTATATGATTCTATAGGACAAACCATTGCACACAAATAAGAAACCAAAATGATTTTATTTAAACATGTCACATTTTAAAATTAAAAACCTATTTTAGATAGAGACATTAAATGTAAATAATGCAATTTTAAACAGATTCAAACAAGCCAGTAAAGATGCAACCTACCATTTGCTTTCAACCTTTTGCATTTGCAACAGGCATTTTCAAGTTTTAATTTTAGAAGGCAACCCTGGAAGAAAATCATGCATCTGAGTGGAACTGGTTTCCTTGAACAAGATCAATATATGAATAATATCTTTCAAACGCCTCTATTGCTGACAACCATAATTTACTGTAAATTAAAAGGGCATGCTACAAATTTACTCTTTATTAACAAATAATCACCTTTCTCATCAGCACAGCTAAACATGATTAATTATTCCAATGACAATTTGATTCAAATAAAAGATCCTGTCACATACAGAGATAAATCCCATATGCCAAATGCGCAAACATAATTTAAGGCAAGCAGGTCTTCCTACCAATGTTCAAGGAAACAGAATACAGTCTGCATATGAATTCATCTGAAGCCATTTCTTCGGTTTTCTGCCAGCATTTCATTGGCAAGCATTAACCAAGAGAACCCACATTTCAAAATACAACAATGGAGAACCTACAGCCCTGCTTTAGTGCTGCATTTCATTTAACTCTCTCTACTCTACACAGATGCTCCAATCCAGCTCAAATGGCGGGGAAGTACTCTTCTCCTGCAATGCACCGGCAGAAGGATGCTCTTCAGAACGAGGCTTATCATGCAATCTGCATTAATATCACTTTAACATGTTCACTCTTTCCCTGTGACGTGTTCCCGCTCTCTAACTGAAAAGATGTCAGAATTAATGTGATGCTTTTCTTTTTAACCAGTTCTTTCCCTCTGGAAGATGAGAGCAAGCATTTCTCGGGGATCTGCATTAGAGCAGCAGATATAGAGCTTGTTGCTAACTGTTGTTTCCTTACAAGAGGAAATATAATAAGGCACCCACAGAGAATCTTCATTCTCTAAATAAGGTGAAAACAGAACTCTTAACCCTGTTTCAATCTCTTGTCTGACATCAAAGCAGATTTGTATCATTTTAATTTTGGTTATCTGAAGTTTATACAATTTACAAGCATGTCAATTAATGCAGATGTTTTGCTTTTTAAAAAGGGACACTGAAACAATGTAGGGATAGAGTGTAATTAGGCTTTGCATGGATAAAGTCCTAGTTTGAATTCCTGGAATTTCAAGATAAGACTACAAAAATTCCTATCTGAATCTCTGAGAAACAGGTTGCAGTCAGAGCTTACTAAACAAAGTAAGGATAAGGCAACTTCTTAGATTGACATCCAATAATTTTTCTGAGTTCTTTATCAACAGAGAATCTCCAGCTAGAAATCTAACTACATTCAGTTGCCTCATGATTTTACCAACTGGGAAAATCAAGGAATTGAATAAAGTGGTGGCTGTAACCTCTGTCCAATAGGTTTAATTCAACACTAAGTGTAGAGACAACTAGTCAGATGAATTTTCAATGGTTCTTAAAATCAAGAAGCCTCTTCACCCTTTTTCTGATTTAAACTAGGATATTTCTTTTATTCAATTTGGAATCTACCTGACTCCTAAAAAAAAAAAACTTCTGGTGGCTTACAAAGCACACAAAGAAAAAGAGAACCACACATTTTTTCAAAGGCACTTGGAAGAGTAAAACAACTGAACATACCCAGGCCTGGGAGCAGAGTCACACTGTTGATTTCTGGAACAGCTATGGGGTGGGAGCCATATGAATTTCTGGGGTTATATTTTTCCAGGGGACAAGTGCCACAGCAGAAAGGATGCATTGCATATCCCACCAGATAGCATGGTTTGATTGATATGACTTTGAATGCTACCATTCTACTTAACTCACTGGGAAATTTCATTGCGTATATACTGAAATATTGTATACCCATTTCTAAAGCTGCAGAGGTTTTCTGGGCATAAACATCTGGGGATTCATATCCCTTCTTCCTCCCATCAAATCTGGAAAACCACTTCACATATGGGACTTTTTCCAAAACAGTTTCCTTCAAAGTGGATGAAAATTAAATATTACAAATGTTGAAAAAATGGAAAAATGAACTGGCTAGAATACTGTAGATTGTTTCAGTTTAGCCTTACATTGTTAAATGAAATTATAACCCAAGCTTATGTTATTCCCAAGTCAATTATATAACTTCTTTGGAGTTATAAGCATTTTGAATGGAAAATCCAAGATAATATTTTCATTTCCACATAAAGTAAATTTATCCAATATTTTAAAATGCAACTAAGAATCAGTTATGCCCATCATTACAAACAGTTATTGATAGATGAACCTAATCAGGATGGCTGCCACAGGAGCATGAATTATGTTCGAAATTAAAAACAACATATTTGATCTCTCACATCATACAATAAAAATTTTCGTATGAAAATAATGCAAGCAACTTGCTAAAGAAATCGTAAAAGACTGCAGTTTTATGTATACTTACATGGTAGTGAAATTTCACTCACTTACATAGAAACTGAACACAAAATTACTCTACTCACTCCATCTATACATCTACTTCCCCACCAACACCATCATATATGTGCTCTCATTCATAACATTTCTGATACCACACTTAGCAGCAGAGCTTGTTTTGTTCTGCCGCATTTTTGGCAGTCTGCCTACCATTGCATAAGCCTATCAAAAGCAGCTAAGGCTCTTTGCTTGATGCTTCTGCTTGCACATGGGGTTGCTAGCTGAAATAATAGGGACAATAATAGCCACTGATGTTTCATTGGATGAACATTCCAAAACCAAAACAGTAGACATATAATGCAGAAACACATCAAATGTCAACAAGTCATATCAAAAAGATGTCAAGCTTCTCCGCTGGCTGGGCTGGAATCAGTTTAAATCATCAAAATACCCTGGGTGAATTTCCTTCACAATGTCCTCCCTTGAGACTGAATTAAAGGGTAGGAAGCGAGGAAGATTCCATGATGCTGGAATATACAGTGAAAGAAAGACCAGTCTCATTCAAACATCTTAACTATAATAAGGACAGAAATCCTGCTTCATACTCATGATAATTTAATTGACTTTTAAATATATATTCTTGGGGGATGAAATTGAAGTACACACACACACACACACACACACACACACTAGCCTCCAGCTCTTTCTACCATCTCTTGTATTAAAAGATGCTCAAATAGAAGAAGCATGCTTAAGAAAACGGGCTTCAGGAGGTAGAAGGCAAGGCAAACATTGAACATTTCTCATCTATATGGGGATTTTGATGTTAGAAATAATTCTATATAATATTTCCATGTGACAGGAGCAGCAGGAGAACCATTTTAAGACTATAAATTTACCATTCAAATACCTAGATTTATATACATTATATACTGCCTGCTGGACCAATCTCTCTACTGTATTTGGTTTCTTGATTTTTTTGTAAACTTTCAAAATGTTAAGAGACACGGTGGTTATATTTTCCTTTCTTTGACTGAAACAGATTATCACAATTGTATACAACGCTGCCTTCTAAAAACACCTAGAAACCAATATGTTTTTAAAAGGTGTTCCTTGGGAACAAGATGTTGCAAACAAAAACCTGTCAACCAGTTACATGTACTCTATAGTTTTTCAGATGTACTGGACAACTTGTACAACTCTTAGTCATGATACGCAGGGCTTGTGAAGGTTATAGACCACAGATGTCAAACTCGCGGCATCATGTTGCTGTCATGTGACATTTTGTGAAGTTTTCCCCTTTGAGGAGCTGGGCTGGGTGTGGCCTGCACATGATGCATCTGGCCCACGGGCCATCAGTTTAACATCCCTGTAATATAGACCAAAACATATGGACAAGACCAGGCTGCTTATTCTTATTTTACATTCTTTGCAACACAGAATTGATTTCCCAATTACACTCACAATGCAAGAGACAGAACTGTCTATCTCCCAACTGACATATTGCCCCAACCTCATTAAAATTATCCTGGCTAACTGTAAACAAACTCAATAGTATATAACTGATCATGACTTTATTTGTCTACTATTCTTTCTTTCTTCTCATCTGTTGTTCCTTTTTTATTGTTGATTACTAAAAGATCTCTAAGGTAAGAATTTGTCTCTAGGGTTTGTTTAAAAACTCTCTAAAGTGTCATGACCTTCAGTGATACAGAATGTAATTATTCCTGTAAACCTTCACAAAGAAACTATGTTTTCCACAAACTATGTTTCTCTTTTCATGGTGTACGCTTTCACTATTCTCATTATGAAATATTCAGAAAAGAATCATTCCAAACTGTTACCCCCGTTCAATTTACTACAAAAATTCCATTTTCTTTAAGGAGCTTGCTGTGCTTGCACATCTATCCTGTCATTTTTTTTCTAGTGATGTTTTCTCACTAATCCTATCACATCGTTATGAGTACTTGGAATATTCTTCTTTAGTTATGAAGGCAAACATTCATTTATCCAGCTTTAAGTAAAATGGGGATAAATCCTACAGGATGTTATTTTTAAGCAAGTAGGATCAAATAATAAAATACATGATCTACACAACATTGAAGATCACACCAAATGGACACCTAACATCAAAAACATCATCAAAAAAGCACAACAAAGAATGTTCTTTCTGCGCCAACTCGGAAAGCTCAAACTGCCCAAGGAGCTGCTGATACAGTTCTACAGAGGAATTATTGAGTCTGTCATCTGCATCTCTATAACTGTCTGGTTTGGTTCTGCAACCCAACAGGACAGACACAGACTTCAGAGAGTAATTAGGACTGCAGAAAAAACAATTACTACCAACCTGCCTACAACTGAGGACCTGTATACTGCACGAGTCAAAAAGAGGGCTGTGAAAATATTTACAGACCCCTCATATCCTGGACTTAAAACTGTTTCAACTCCTTCCCTCAAAATGACGCTATAGAGCACTGCACACCAGAACAACTAGACACAAGGGCAGTTTTTCCTGAAAGCCATCACTCTATTAAACAAATAATTCCCTCAACCCTGTTCAACTATTACAAAGTCTGTACTACTATAACTGTTAAATCTTGTCATCGTTCCTTATCACCCATATCCTCGCACTTGTGACTGTATGACTGTAACTTTGTCGCTTATATCCTTACGATTTATATTGTTTCCTAGTATGATTGATTGCTTATTGTACCCTATGACCATTAAGTGTCGTACCTTATGATTCTCGACTCCTGATGAATGTATCTTTTCTTTTATGTATACTGAGAGTATTTACACCAAGACAAATTCCTTGTGTGTCCAATCACACTTGGCAATAAACTATTCTATTCTATTCTATTCTATTCTATTCTATTCTAATCTAATCTAATTTTTTTGTGATGGCAGGCAGACATATCTAATATAGAATGAATGATCATATGAAAGTTATTTGAAGAAGCAAATTTGCATCAATGCAGATCCAGTGTGTTAAACCTTGTATTTTTTCTAAAATGCAAAATGAATACTGCAATTTTTTTTAAAGTCTGTAGAGTTCTGTACCATGATTCAAATACTTGTCCCAGGAATCATAACCTTTCATGTAGCTTTTCTGGTATTCCAATTTTTTACTAAAATCATTTCATATTTAAACCCTGTCTCTATTTGATTAAAATGAGAAAGAAGAGAAGTTTTTAAAAAATCCCAAATTCCCCATGACATAATCAAAAGCAGTGTGACTGATTCAGTTAAGTGCAAACTCTTCACAGTGGACTGGTTACCTTGGAAACTGAAATGGTCACATGTCTTGCACCAGGGAAGAACATTTCTCCTGCAAAATCCAAACTGGCTTGGAAAAGATTTAAGCAAACAAATTTTGCTAATGTTCAATTACTTTTATTTAAGGCATTGCTATTAGAAGCTCTACACAGAATATATACACTCTATCTCATTTAATTTAAAGAGGGAAGAAACAGCAAGATTGAAGCTTTACAATCGGTGTTTTTCGACCTTGGCAACTTTAAGTTGTGTGGATTTCAGCTCCCAGAATTCCCCAGCCAGCATCTAGCCTGGCTAGTTGAGAATTCTGGGAGCTGAAATCCAGACAACTGAAAGTTACCACTAAGATTAATAATCACCAGCTTAAAGTCATTCTTATATCATATAGTGAAGTCTCCTTTCCTCCCCTTATAGTCACTAAGCCCCTATGCTGACTCAACAGCAGCATCTACTGGTCATTGTGGCTAAATACAGTAAACTTGATATAATTTCAAATATCTCAGACTATTTTATTGTTATACAAACAAAATGTGAACAAAGAGCAAATAAAATGATGGAAAGAATGTCAAAAATCCACAGTCCTCACTTATGGGACCAAATAAGCATCAGACCAGAATCAGAAGTATTTAAACAAATGTGTTTCTTATAAGTACAATCCACTATATATGGCTGTTAGAAAAATGTTATATTTAATCAAAGGCTTTTAGGTGCTGCCAACTGTAGTATTTACAAACATTAGTATAAGTTAGGAGATCATTATTATGCTTGCATTAAAAATACACTATGAAACTGAAATAGTAATTTATTACGAGATTTCAACCCTCATTCAGTATCTTAGCAACTATATTATTCTAATTATCATTTTTTCACTTCCTTCTTCCCTACCCACACCAGATTGTACTTATAATAAAGGCATGTGTTCCAACTGACAAGCTGAGCATCTTTAACCACTAAGCCATAGTGCTCATTCAACAGCTTATCACCTTCTCTATACTATACATGTAGCCATTCTGCTCATAATGCATAGATTACAGCCCAGGAGGAAATAGAACAACCTGCAATTTAGATCCCAGTGGATGGTTTTCTCAAGTGTGGATGTTACGTTTCTAAGCCTAAGGGGGGCATATAGTTGACAGTCAAACAAAGAATAAGCCTGGCTAGAGCATTGCATATACATATCATCTCATAATATGGCAAGCGGTAGAAGCGCTCATATTTGGCCATGAAATCCAATAACTTAAATCTTGCTCTAGGATAAACACTTCTTGATGATTGCGTCAAAGTCATTGATGATTGCAAACTAAATTTAACAAACTCACTTAACAACTTTTCTATTTAGATCTCATTTTCTATCTTTAAACAAAGCCCCCAAAACCTCACCATTCAAACAATCCAATAAAAACTAATCTCTTATAAAGAAGCACATACAGATTGCTTGTGAAAAGCGCATACGGATTGTCTACCTTCCCCCTCCCTCCGGGCCTCTGCCTCCATCTGCTGCTGGTGCCACTGCACAAAGATGAGCCTCCCACAGCTGCCCGCTCCAGCCCACCGATTCTCAGCTTTCCCGTGGCCCACATGGGACATCCAGAACTTGTGCCTCCTCCACCTCTGCCTCCCCCTGCTGCTTGGACAGGTAATCAACTCACCTGTGCTGTGTGGGCTGCAGCTGATGTTGGACACCATCAGCCCTGTGCCCTCACTGACTCCAATGCTGGCCACGCCCACCTCCCCACCCTGCTGATGACCTTAACTGGGAATTATTTGGGAGTAGGGCTTATATTAGGAGCACACTAAAAATCAGGCTAGAGGTTATTTTCCAGTTAGGTCTTATTTTGGAGGGAACATAGTATTCATTTTCTAAATGTAAAAAC